AAGTCCCTCAAAATTTCCTCTCAACAAGCTAATTGAGGCCTCTTCTCTTGGGCTAAGGTATAACTTCAAAACACCTCTTTTTGGCTTGATTTTGGACTTTTTTGAAGATAAGTTGAATGCCATGATAATCTAGGCGTATAGATTTAATCTACACATTTAGATGAAGGTGTAAGAACAAACTTCACTCGATTTAGTCAAGAATCGAGTGAGATATTAGGCTTAGAACAAGGATGGTTCTCGGGTTAGTGTTATTTGGAGAAGATGAATGGATGTCGTCCATTTTTATGTGTATTAAATCAACGCTGGTGACAGATCCAAATGAGGAAATGTGGAGCAAACAATGGGCTGACAGGGTGAACATGTGGAGAGCGCGACTAATGAAGACCCGCTGCATGGACTTAAGGATCAGTAGTTCTCATGGGTGATCAGTAGTCCTAGTTCGTTAGTGTGACTGACTCATAAATGTCTAATTTTCAAAAATAAAATAAAAAAAACGTACTTCTTGAATTAAAACATGTATTTTGTTTGCTAAATGTTTACAAAATTCAAATTATTTTTGCATGAAAAATTAAAATTCAACTTTTAAAATGTCTTTTCAGACAAATTCATATGTCAGTCACATAGACCGCGTTGAGGAGCATCCTCCTATGATTGCATGACAGATATTTTTTTACCTTATGTTGGGTCTCACAGACATGGTACTTACAAGTTGCCTATGGAGTTCCTTCGGGAAGAATTGTTACGGTTTCAGTTCTAGTTCTGAGCTCCCCTATAACTTAAGTTTTTACACCTAGCCTCGATCATTTATATGTGACATCGTGTTTTATTTTATTCGCTCGGATTTTTTTACAATTTGTTTAAATTTCCTAGAAATTACTATATTATATTAAACTAACCTTGCAGCAGCGGTAGGAATCCCAAGTACGCATGTTTATTTTACGTTTACCACATTCGTACCGCAATTTATTTACTGCCTTTTCTTCTTCAAAATTTTATAACACCTGGAAGGCCCCTAGGGTAGCAACAATAGACAGTGTTTTAGTTTTACTTGCTGCACTATTCAAAAGTTTGAGGGTAATTTTAATTTTAGTTAAACGACATCGATTAAGATTTCACGGTTTCATTATGCCGACATCAATATTTTCTTTTAAGTTTACTTAGTCCAAATGAGTTGTTAAACTCATTTTAATTGAAGTTAATCTCAGCTGTTATGACAAGTGAAGAAGTATTCAAACGAGCTAAAAATTTAATGAGAATTTGGATTTTCATATAAAAATTTTAATAAATAATTTTGCAATTCTAATCGCAGCTACTTTGTCGATCATGAACTCTAAATTTTTGAGTTGTACTAATTAGTTACATAATTCTTATTGATAGGACTATACTAGTTCAAATTTTGTAAGTAGAAGAAATAAATTGATCCTAAAAGTTATATGGATGAACATTTACTTAGTTATATTAATAATAAAATAATGACAATAAGACAATCCACATTTATGTTGTTGGCAATTGCAGTGTGAGTCATAAAAAGTGAACTCATTACATTCAAGGTTAAGAAAACTCTATAATAAAAATCTTTTACAATGTAACTATCTCATTCTAAGTAGCTATTCACTTATTAATAAAACAAATATATAACTAAAAAATAAACTAAAAATATTATTGATATAATAATATATTACTATTAAAACTATAATTAAATAAATTCTAATTAAATAAATTATATTTAAATAATATGTCATATATATAAATTATGAGTTATTATTGAGCTTAATATTGAATATTTAATAAGTTACTTGGTGAACGACAAATGAGTTTGTTCATGAACATAAACAAACAAGTTCGATTATGTTCATGCTCAGTTCATTTAAGCTTCAAGCTTTTAAAAATTGTCAAAGCTTGTTTATTTACTAGTTTGAACAAACATGATTGAGCCTTAATCGAGTTGAGTTCAAGTTGTTTATCGAGTGCATTGGTTCATTTACAATCCTAACAATAACATGAGCTTCACCATTATTTTATGATGGCTAACTTCTCTACATGGTATATCCATATGATTCTTTGAACTTAATTAGGAAGCCATATCAAATGATGCCTTCATTTTAAAATGAACCAGCACCTACCTGCTAGACTGCTCCTTCTCGTCAGCAACATTAGCTTTATAATAAATTTAGCATATAATACGACAATCTCATCAAACACAACATCTCCATAGATGATCACTTTTTTGTTTTCTAGACGCTACAAATTATTGCCTTTAACTCTAAACCTATAGCAAAAATACATTCCTTATAATTCATATACCTAAACTCTAATTTTTTATTTATAACATTAGTATAAGCAAGAAAGTCAGCAATAATTAAATTTGAGTAATTTATTTGTTTATTTGACCAAATCACCGACAAAGTCTGGTTACAAATAGTCATAAAATGGGAGTGATTCACTAAGTAGTATCATGGTTTAAACCCATAATGAGTTTATAAAACCCAACATTAAAACATATGCGATGTACCTACTTTATTATCACCCTTTCATCCACTATATTTTTATCAATTTTTAATTTGTACATTAAACTATTAAGTCCCTCAAAATTTCCTCTAACTAATAAAATGTATTAAATTTTCTTGATAAAAATTTAAACTATTATTAGCATAGAGCTATTTAATTTTCTTCAAGGCTCTTTTAAATCATAGCCTATTTCTTAAAAATAATGAATATGTCACTACTATTTTAGCAAGATTACATAAAATGTTCTAAGAAAATTGTTAATAATTAACAGCATAAATCTAATCCTCTCTTGGATGGTGCTGTGGATAGTCCAAAGAGTTCATAAAGTTGTAGTTAGTATCCACTCAATAATCTAAAATTAAATCTTTTGTTTCCAAAATAAATAATGCTTGCAAACTTTTAATTTAATGATACTTAAGTCATCAAGAGTCAGTTTAGCTATCCTAGTCTCATTTATTTGCCTACAATGCACTTGCTTAAATTTATTTGTTTTATCATCAGACATGAAATTAATAGTAACATCTACATCACCTAATGTGTTGAACTCCACAAAATATATAATCCTACATCCTTCTTGTGCACCTTTGCCATAACAAAAAGTTTTTGTAGACCCTTATAACTCCATCTTCACTAGAGTGTTTGTGCTCGTCATCATCAAAGGTACTTAAGAAAATTAAATATTTCATCAAATTAGGGGCATGTCTCACAACACCGAGTGTCCAATGACTAACTAACATCTTAATATTGCTAGTTTTAATGCTAATTATCCTAATGGAGCATTATTTTTCAATAACAATGTATTCTTAAATATAATTCTATATGTTGAATATTACTCCATACTATGACATGTTTCATTGTCATTATCAATGAGATTAAAACCAACTAATTGATACCATTTATTATAAAATCCAAGTAATAATCAATAAAAAAATGCAAAGAGAACACATATAAAATGCATGAAAAACTTAATCTAAAAAAATCATGAGCAAAAAAGAAAAATGTTCACTAGTCATAGAGAAAAATTACAAAGGAGAGCACTAAGGATTCGGCAACCTAATTTTTGGTATATGAAATCTACTGATAGTATCACACACACACAAACACTCCAAAGCCGCAAGTAATTTGAGTTTAAATGAATGATGAAAAGTAAAATAGCTTGAAGAGAAATTAAGTTAGCCAAAGAAATCATCTTGCCATAAGTTTTATGGTCCAATCAAATTGAATGACCTGTCTCCCTCAATAATTAGATTTTCTGTGTCTTCCTCCTTGTCTTCCACACTCGTTAAAAAAACCTGTTTTCAGCTTAAGGGAGCAGAACAAATTAGTGATACTTTCAATAGATTAGTTTTAACTATCAAAGAAATACGCCATCTTGTTTCAAAACAAATTAAGAAAAAAAAAGAAATTTTTTGCTTTCAACTTCTTGTTTACTCCCTGCTAAGAAATTATCAAGCTTGCAAACAGCATAAATTGTTCATCATCATCTGATCATCTCAATATAAGCAGTCACATTCCTATGAATAACAGTGGAACATAGAACCCTGACGCCACACAGAAACAAAGCAGCACATTCCTAAATCCATCATAGCTAGAATTCACTAATGGAACACTCCCACGCAGTAAAAAAGCAAACTTTATGAAAAAAAATGCAAGCGATATATTGTTCTACCACAAGGATCTCAAGCACAAACATCCTCCCCATTTGTTCTGTATCCTCAGTCAAGCAACTGCCGGTGCTTCCTTCTGCAAATCCACCACCCTAATCCACTTGGGTCGGCCTGAGATCGCCTCCCACCACTTCATCACGTTGGGGCGCTCCTTGAACATGTCGGCACATTCCGGCACCATGGTCATAAGCCGGTGGGTGTTTGGAAGATGTGCAAGGTCCGCCAGAGTGAACTTATCCCCAGCCAAGAAGTTCATCTCGTTCAGTCTCTTGTCGTAGATATCAAGCACCTTCTCCAATTCCTTCTTGCTCTTCTGCACCTCTTCTTCATCTTTTTCAATTCCCTGTAGTGGTGCAAATGCCAGATAGAATACCAGTGTGGAGCTTGGCGGGTCGAAGATCTGTGACTCTGTTCTCAGCCACTGCTCTATGGATGCCCTTTCAAGCCTTCCTCTCCCCAGCAAGTCCTTGTTACCTTGCTCAGCATAAGTGTCCGCTACGTGCAGGCATATAGCCCTTGAATCTGGAAAAGGTTGTAACAGAATGTATGAATTGATATATGAGCAGTTATTATATAGTTTTGCTTCGCATGAGTTGTTTTTATTGCTTACCAACTATAGTGGTCTTGCCATCTTCATACGTCAGAGATTCGCCTGATGGCTACAAAATGGGAAACGCAAGCATTCTAATTGAGTGTTTTGGAAACTGATAACGGTTATTAGGGCTGTCTAAACGGAACGTTGTTCGTGAAACAACTTGCGTTCGGCTCGTTCGATAAGTTAATGAGCTGAACACGAATAAATATTTATTAGATCGTGTGAACACGAATAAATATTTATTAGATCGTGTTCGGCTCGTTTTAGCTCAAAATACTACTCATCTCTCTCTCTCTCTCTACATATATATATTTATGAGTAGTATTTTAAAAAAAATTAATTAATTACAATGCTACAAAGATTTATAATTAATTAAAAGTATTATTAAAGAAAATAAAATAAAATTTATTAAATTAAATTCAAACGATGTTTTAATATAAACAATAATTTTTAAATATTGTAACAATCCTTAACAACTTATGACAGTGTAATTAGGGTTATCAGAGCGACTCTTTGTTCATGAACAGCTCATGTTCGGCTCGCTAGGCAAATGGGTCGTACACGAACACACTTTTTGAGCTCGAAATATAAACGATAGCTCGTTTACACCCCTAACGGCTATTAGTTACCAAGACTGAACAGTTTCAAGTTATTATGATGGACTGCAGCTAGACTTGGTGGAGTATTGAAAAATGTTTATGGTGATCATTACCTGTAGCTTGAGATAATCTGGCCTCCTTTGTTTGCCTTTGTAGGTGTCGGTGCGAATGAGTTGGAACTCAACTTCCTTCTCAAAGAGGCAAGCCAGAACCCGAGCAACCTCGGCCGAAGCCGGTGATCCGAAGACCTGCACGCTTGACATTTGAGCTCGAAGGAGGTAACAAAGACTGGGTTGTTGGAAATGGGAACTGCTTGGAAGGTAGCTGGGAGGAATGGGGAGGGCTTAAGATGAGCAGAAGATATGTGGAAATAAATGTGAAATTAATCAAAGTTAAAGAGTAAAAGGATGGAGGGAGTTTAAAGAGGAATTGAAAAGATAAAGAGTTGGTCAGTACATTTTTTTTTTTGAGGTGAAGTTGAGCCTTAAGGATGCTAAGAGTTAGTGTGGACAACCTTTGGAACTGCTAATGAACACCATTCTTGGGAGAGAGAGAAACACCATTCTTGAGAGAGAGAGGAAAAATATGCAAAACAAAACAAAGTTAAAGTGAAGGAGCTAAGGATTTGGGCTTTATCACATGCAATCTTTTGATGATGTCTTCTCAAATTTGTTGCAAACAGTGAAGACTTAATGTCTCTTTAATTCTGTAATCAATAAAGCGCTTGAATCCTGAGGCTACAGTTTATGCATGTAAGCACAGGCAGTCCTTCGAGAAGGAAGTGCACATATTCGGTCACTTAAGCAGGTTCACTTTGGTTCTGTGATAGGAATCTATTTTTGAGAACCAAATCTTTTAGTGTGTGATAGTTATACTGATTTTTTTGTCCAACTTCTTTAAAAAAAATTATTATACCCACATTAACTTTCAAAAAATTGGTTTCTCTACAATAACCTTACAAGCACCTTTACAAATAGTTGATGCTTCCTCAAATGAATCCTTAAATTAGTTGCTTTCTCATTAGTGAGGTGGGGGTATACTCCTCTAATATCTCCCGAGTTGAGACCTTAGGGCATTGCGATATTGGGAGATATTGGAAACTGAGTTTATAGTTGACACTAGGTCCTACTCCATGCGTTGAGCACAAGTGAGGATTGCGATATTGGGAGATATTGGAAACTGAGTTTATAATTGACACTAGGTCCTACTCCATGCGTTATGCGAGCACAAGTGAGGGAGAGGAACACCTAGTTAGTGCTTCGGGGCCTTGATTATGGCTACAATGGTTTGAGGGAGATTAGCTGAGTGAGGGGAAGATAGAAAGTAGTTTTGATGTCTCATTTTTTATCTTAAACCATCACCAACTTCATCTCTATGTTCTTAAAATGGTAAACCCCCAATTCTATTTCTCATATTGCTAAGGTTCAAATAAATCATGGAATTGAATAATAAGCCTATCCGGGTTGGCTTTCATTACATTTGTGATGTGATTTATTAATTAAAAGTTAAAATGTCACACTATAACAAAAAGAAGCCTTTTTAGCATCTAAATAAACGTACGGTGACATTTTTAACCGCTTGTTAGGATATTGCAACGTTTTTATGGCCATTATTTTTTTGCTGTGGTTGTTCTTCTCTAATAGTGGCTATAGGATTGTTGTCATAACTAAAAATATACAACAAATTCGTTATAGTGCTTAAAACCTATAGAGTACTTTTAATTGGGATAAATTAGCACGTGTTTTAACTGCCACAAATTTTGTAGCACTGTAGCATTTTACATTTTTAGAAGTATGCTTTTTTGGAACTTCTATGGTTGCTTAAAAGCTGCAAAAAGTGATGGCCGGTGCCTTTTTATATGGAGGGTATACTCGACCCGGAGGTTGATGTTTTGTTATAGGTAATGCAATTTGTAGGCTAGTATGTATGAAGGTGTGTCAGTGCCCGTGCCCAAGGAATAGAGAGCAAAATTATGGGAAAGAGAAGGAGAGGGAGATAAATAGAGAGATTTGCCCCATGAGAGTCAGAAAAGAATGTTCCCGGGCTCTTTGTCCCCTTTTATTCCACACAAAGTATGGGCTCCAAGTGAGAGAAGAAGGAGAATGTGCTCCCTACACGGGAGTTGAAAGAGAGAGCCTAAGGACCCCTTTTACACATGCCAATGATCATTTATTTATAGAAGTACAAACAGAGGGAAATAAGAGATTACATGTGTGCATTCACCTTATAAGAGCAGAGTGGGGTATGCCGGTCCTTCCTTCGCACAGATTAGAAGTCCGTCTGCGGGATTTGCCCAAGTCGGGTGGCCGGCCAAGTGCATCGGCCGGCTGGATGTGGCTTGAGTTGGTCAGCCAAGAGGTTCGACTGACTGGAGGGGGGCAACCCTCTTGGTCTGCCACCTGGTGGTGGTGGTCGGCCAGGAAGGACCGACCAACTGGTCGACTTCAAAGTGGCCAGTCATGAGCGGCCGACGTACAGGAGGGTGGTCTTTTGATATGGTTTCAACGACGCTTCTTTTAACTTGGGAGGTGGCATTTTCCTCTTATACATAAAACCACTGAGTTTTTTACTTCTTGAAGTCGAAGCTGTGATAGGAATGAAACTCATAAGCACAGAAAATATAGTCTCATGAACCTCTAATTGAACAGTCATTTTGTTAGCTTTTAAGGAGTCGATTTTTTAGAATATAATCACTTAAGTTTTATTCATATTTTTAGATATGAAATTTTGCCTAACTCAAGTCTCACTTCTTGCCCATATCTTTTGATCTTATCCGAAAATCGTCTCTGGCAGGTCTCAACTTTCGCCGGATCATTGGTTGATCTAGTCGTTGCCTTTGTAGGGGTAACCATCGAGACTTGTTAATGGGTGATGTGTGTCGCACCCTTTGTGGATTTTGTCGCTTTCAGGCTGGGAATCACCTCAATATCTTTTTTTGAGTCAAATTTTGAGATGAGTTTAGGAGGTTTCCCAAGGTTAAGTGTGGAGTGATATTTTTTTTGCTCATCACAAAGGAGAAGCTTTAACGTTAAGTGTGGAGTGATATTTTTTTTGCTCATCACAGAGGAGAAACTTTAATGAAGAGAGAGCCTAGAGACCTCTTTTATACATACCAAGTGTCCTTTATTTATAGATTTACAAAGAGAGAGAAATATGATATTACATGTCTGCCTTAGCCTTATGAGAGTGGTAGGGGGTATTTTGGTTCTTCAGTGGCCCAGATGTGAAGTCTGTCTTAGGGATCTATCTGCATCTAGTGGATATCTGGCTGGAGGTGGCCAGACAAATGGCCCGACCTCTTGGATGTGGCTGATTAAGAGGGTCGGCTAAATAAAGAGAGCTGACTGAAAGGGTCGTCTAACTAGTTGTGGTCAGCCAGGAAGGGCTGGCCAATTAGAAGGGTCGATTAAGAGGGTCATCCGCTTGATAGTTGTTGACCATAAAGAGCAAACTGACTAGTCAACTTCCAAGTGGCCAACCAACAGGAGGGTGATCTTTCTATGTGGTTTCGACAATGCTTCTTCAACTCAGCGAGGTGGCATTTTTCTCTTCTAAATAAAGCCAATGTTGAATCAAGATTTACCTAGCGACAATGCTTCTTCAACTCAGCGAGGTGGCATTTTCCTCTTCTAAATAAAGCCAATGTTGAATCGAGATTTACCTAGTGGATCGTGCCCAAGGAATAAAGAGTGAAGTCTAAGGGGAAGAGGGAAAGAGAAAGAGAGCGAGAGAAAAAGAGATATTTATCTTGTGGGAGGAAAGAAAGGTATTCCCTCGACTCTTTAGCCCCTTTTATTTCACACAAAGTAAATATTGCAAGTGAGGGGAAAAAGGAAGCGTGCAACTTATATAAGGGTTGAGAGAGAGAGAGCCAAGGGACCCTTTTTACACATGCCACTATAAGGAGAGGTAAATAGGGTTCTCTATTTATACATATATGTCCATGCCTTATAAAAGAGGATGTGGGTATTTTGCTCCTTTAGTATCCTAAATATGAAGTTCGTATACAGGATCCGTCTACTTTGGATGGACGACCGACTGGAGGTGGTCGGTCAAGTGGGCCGATCGGCTGGATGTTTTTCGGTCAAGTGGGTTGATCAGTTGGATGTTGTTGGAGGTGGCCGATCAAGTGGGCCGAGCAACTAGATGTGGTTTATCAAGAAGACTGGTTGACTGATGGGGGCCAACTAATAGGGTCGATTGGCTTGTGGTAGCCAACCACAAAGGGTTGGTCAACTAGAACAGCCAATCAAGAGGGTCGGTTTGCAGGTGATGGTCGGCCGTGGGCGGCCGGCTGACCAACAAGAGGGTAGCCTTCCGATGTGGTTCTAATGGTTCTTCCTTCGGCTCAATGAGGTATCATTTTCATCTTATACATAAAGCTTCTAAGTTTCTTACTACTAGGAGGCGAAGCTTCGATAAGAATGAAAAACTCATAAGTACAAAAAAATACAATCTCATGAACCTCTAGCTGGACTTCATTTTTGAACAGTCCTTTTGTTAGCTTTTAGTGAGTCAATTTCTTAGACTAAAATAAGTTAAGTTTTATTTAGATTTTTAGATATGAAATTTTGCCCAAGTCGAACTCCTTGCCTTTCTCTTTTGCCCTTGTTAAAACATTGCCTCCGGTGGGCCTCACATTTCGCCAGGTCTTTGGCTAATCTTATCGCTGCATTCACGAGGATAACTGCAAAGACTTGCTAATGGGATGATTTGAGTCGTACCCTTCGCAGTTCTTGTCACTTCGGGGTAGGGAACCGCCTCCAAAGCTTTTTTCTAATCGAGTTTTGAGATGGGTTAATGAGGTTTCCCAAGGTTGAGTGTGAGGAGAGATTTGATTTGCTCATCTCGGAGGAAAAGCTTAAATAAAGAGAGATCTTGTTTGCTTATCCCAAAGTAGTGACTTAAATGAAGAGAGATTTTGTGTACACATCCCGAATGAGAGACTGAAATGAAGAGAGATCTTGTGTGCTCATCCCAGAGGAGAGCTTTAGGTGAGGAGAGATCTTTTTATTTTTTATAATTTTTTCTTCTTTTTGAGCTCTTAAAAAAAAGTAAACAATCTTAAAGAAAGCAAACACTTATTGTCTTTATTCCTCCGTAAAAAGTATTATCCCTCATTGAGTGTGAGGAGGTTATTCCTTTTTCTTCATCTTGCTTTTTCCTTTTATCTTTTTCCTCTTATCCTATTGTTCTTTTATTTTTTTCTTCTTATTTCTTGATTTTTGTCTTTTGCTCCATATCTTCAGCTTTTTTTTCTTTTTGTTTCTCTCTATTTGGCTTTCTTCAATTTAGAGTGCACCTCTTCTTGCTGACAACATGTCCATGCTCATCGTACCAATGTTAAATTTAAATTTGTCTTGTGGATTGTGTCCAAACAATATAGCGTGAAATTTGAGGGAAAGAAAAAAAAATGAGAGAAAAGATAGATTTAAAATGTGAGGGGAAAGAGAGGTGTTCCATGGGATTTTTGGTCCTTTTATTCCAACAAAATAAATGTTATAAGTAAGGGGAAAAGGGGAGCGTGCTCCCTTCATGAGGTTTGAGAGGGAGAGAGAGCCTAGGGACCCCTTTTACAAATACTAAGGGTCCCCTATTTACGGAAGTATAAAAGAGAGAAATAGGAGATTACATGTATACCCCAACCTTATAAGAGCAGAAGCTAATATTTCAGTCGTTTTGTTGCCCAGATTTGAAGTTCGTCTATGAGATCTATCTGCATTGGTTTGCTGGCCAAGGGTGACATGTCATTGGAGGTGGCTGACCAAGTGGGTTGGTTGGGTGGATGTGGCTGGAAGTGGTTGACCAAGAGGGCCTACCGAATGAAGTGGGTCGATCTGCTGGTGCTGGATAACTTGGAAAGGTTGATCAGCTAAAAGGTCGATCAATTGGTGGTGGCCGATTAGAAAGGCTAGCCAGGAGAGCGACCGACTGGTGGTGGCTGGCCAGGAAGGGCAGGTCGATTGGTCGACTTCCAAGTGTTCGGTCGTGGGCGGCCAGATGATGAGAGGTTAATGTTCCTGTATGGTTCCAACGGTCCTTCATTTGGCTCAGTGAGGTGGCATTTTTCTCTTATTCAGAAGGAAAACAAAGTTATCCACCAAGGTAAACTTATGTGAAAATGAGATAAATGGAGAAGTGTAGCGATGACTTATGAATTCAACAAGTAAAATAAACGTTCATTGGTAAGGATATCACAAATATTGGTCCCAACACTAGCAAGGTTGCGTAACTTTCTTCTCTTGTATACTAACCAATTTATAAGTTTATAAGCATCAATTTTTATTGCAGAATTGATACAATTAAGTTATGGGATTTCAAATTAGCCATTTGATGAGTGAAAAAAAAGCTTAAAAATATGCCTAAGCAAATGCTTTATTTCATATATTTTTTTAAGATATGTTGCATAACTTTGTGTGTATTTGTGCAGAAAATCCTCATAGAAGATTTTTGAGAAGTCTGGTGAAGTTTATTGCAGTGTAGGTATAACACATAGGTAATGTTAGGTTTTTCCAACAACAAGTTTTCAAAATTTTGAAATTATAGCATACAATATTCAAAATCATACCACCAAATTGGAGCGTCACAAAATCACTCTTTATAACATCACAACACTATCGATGCCAAACCAAGGGACCAAAAGATAGAGAGCTTGACACTGCAGCACAAGACCTTGAGCATTGTAGCCTTGAGCAACACTGTAAAGCTACAACTTTAGCACCGCAGTGCGATGAGACGATGAGCACATTTATTCATTAAGAATTTAAATTTCAGAGGGAAGGGGAGTTGAAATGGTTGAAAAGACATAAAATAGCTAGAAAAGACATCTGAGAGGGATGATGGTGCATGTTTACAAGTGTGTGTGCACACGAGCGTGTGAAGTAAGTGAAGAGTGAGTTTTGTTAATGGGGGCTTAGGAGTAGAACCAGCCCCAACCGGTTGAGCTAGAGATGGTTCCGTCAAGCAGAAGAATGGACTGCTCTCCTTCCCCTATTTTCATTGGGCGAGAATTATTCCTCCTTCCTGTTTTCATTTCCCCTTTTTCATCTTCTATTTATATGTTATTTCTCTGTTTAGGGTTATTTTTTGATGAGTTTGACTTCAGATTACTATTATGGAAAGCCGTCGGCATCCACTTTTTCTTTTTCAGGGTTTTAACCGAGGGTGAATGTTGCTCTTGTTGTATCTCCTCTCAAGTCGGTTCTTATCCACGATGTATCCATCCTTCTCTACTATCACACTTCCTTCCACTTGCACACCGCCCTTCTTCCTTGAATACCCTGTCACCCAATCCAGGGATTTCCAACTGTTACTGATAGTCACCTCACAACACCATACTATTGTCGCTCTTACCATCCCCCTTACCAATGAGCTGCTCCATCTTCCCTTCAACCCTCTCACCTCATCCAATAACCTATCCCTCTTTCCCAGCCGTAAGTCCCTCAACACCTGCTCCTAACCGGTAGTTTCCATCAAGCTTTCCTGCTTTCATCTTATTCCTGTAATCCTTCCTATTTCCACTATGCGGCCAAACCCCTTCGCCATGCTTCCTGCGCTGACCTCACGCCCCTCCAACTCTCCCTCACACATGACTATCCCAATCATCCAACCTTTCAAATAGCAAAACACTTTCCCCCCCAACCCACCTACTGCCATAGCCTTCTTCCACGTTGTCTGACTCTACCGTAAGCACTAACCAACTCCTCGTGTTGTCTAGCCAGTGTTCGGCTCTTCACCTTTGCCCTAGGGTGTTTGTTTATGTTTGTTGTGATTTATTTCTTTTTTAAAGATTCATAGTTGTAATTATTTTTTTTTCAGCAATAAAATTTTCATTTTCATTGAGATTTGGGTTAACTCAGAGCTGGCCTAACCCTAGTCCTATCCTAGGGTTTTCTAACATCCGTCCCTACCCTTTCCACCACCAAAAAAACTTTCTTTCCTATTCCCAAACCATAGCTAAAATTTTTACTTAGCCCTAATTCTTCATTGCTGATTTTTAAAATTAGCAGCCTCAAAATAAACACCCTAAATTAGCCTCATACACTTTATAACCTCCCAAACCTAAATACATCTCATCGTCCAACCCGAAACCCTAGCCATGCCACTAAGGAAATACATACTCAAGCCTACCTTGGAAGAGATAAAGCGAGAGATTCTGCAACTTCAAAGAAGGCTCATAGACATTAAGAATGAAATCTAATGGGAGGTTTCCCTCAACTGTGATGGGAAAGGCGAAGCGGAGAATGACGGAATCTAATGATGAAGAAGAGACATAGCTCCAGTTTTTACTAGCTTACTACAGACAGAGGGTACAAACTCTATCTTCAGAAGTAGAGAGACCACATTACCACGTGGCCCCCACATCTTACACACAAAGTTCAACCTCAAAATCTTAATTGCAAAATACACCCAATAGCACACCTAAGATAAAATCGTTAAAGGAAAACCTGATTCAGAGGGGAGAACACAGTCACTACACAACACTCTTACTACTATCGTTTCCACCATCCACTTTCCAATTAGCCGCCCCACCATCCCTTTAGCCCTCCCACCTCTTTCAGCCGCATATTTCTCTTTCCCGGCCGCAGGTCCCTCAACAACTGCTCTTAACCAGCAGTTTTCAATAAGTTTTCTTGTGTTCATCCTATTCTTGTAATCCTTCCTAATTTCAATGTTTGGCCAAACTCCTTCCCCATATTGCCTGTTGACCACACACCCCTCCTACTCCCCCTCACATATGACTTTCCCCCACAACCCACCTTTTGTCACAACCTTCTCCCGCATCGTTTGACGCTACCGCAAGCCCCAACCAGCCCCTTCTTATGATGTCCAGCCGGTGTTCAACCTTTTGCCTTTGCTCTAGGGTACTTGTTTATGTTTGTTGTCATTTATTTTCTATTTAAAGAGTCGTCGTTGTAACAATTTTGTTTTTCAACAATAAAATTTGCTTTAAATTAGTTGGCATTTATTTGCTTTTTTGCACTACTCTTTTTAACTATTCTCTTGCCACATTGTAATTTTTATGATCAAATTTATTATGATCCCTAAATAGTTGGTTATATGATGATTATATTATGGAATCTCTTGATTTGAAAGGTTAATTGTGGGATAACTAGAGTTTTAATGCAACAATCATTTGTCTTTGTTTTATATAATTTTAGCACATTCAATCTTGCATTTACTTAAGAAGAAAAAGCTTTGCATGCTAATTTCTTGAAGCATCTTTCCTGAAAGCCTGATAAGGTATTTTATCTCTATTTACTCCACTAAACGGATAAATTACATCTACTCAAACTTACGTTTCTTATGTTTCATTTTGATATCTAAATTTTAAACATATTAACATTCATCAATGGTGTAAAGCATAAAAGTATGCTAAAAATATGTACTTAAACCATGTCAATGTATCGTTTTAACTCTACATCTCACTAATAAAAATCATTAATTATAATTTAAACATCATCAAGAACCCGTGTATAATTATCCTAATTAATCTCATTAAATATAAGTAATTTATTCATAGATTTTTACTTTAAACGCATAAAGAATGGTGATCTTCCTTCTAGGAACGAGAAGTCCAAATTGATTCTTGAAACAAAGTAGCGTTAACTTTTATCGCTTTATCACCATGTGTGTGTGCGCGCGCGCACGCGTACCTAAGAATTCAAGTACCACACCCTACACTCAGAGCAAATCGAACCCCAGGCCAAAGGGGACTTAGAACTGACAAGCAGTTCCGACTAATTGATCTGAGTACACGACATATATATATATATAGATATATATATGTATATATATATATATATATGTATGTATGTATGTATGTTTGTATGTATTTATGTATGTATGTATGTATGTATGTAAGTATATATAAATGTATATATATGTATGTATGTATAAACGTGCCATTCTAAAATTTAACCAATTTTGCACATAAATCCTCTCGGTTAAATCTGTCACCAAAAGATCTCAAGTTTTTGTAATGAAAAAATAAACTCCAAATCCAAAACTGTAAAATTTCATAATTTCATTTATGCAATGATTTATTTACATTGATTATGTAATAATATGGCTTTGAAGGCCTCTTATACTTAGTGCACGAGATTCTTCACCGTTGCACATGATTCTTATACCAACATATTCAATGACTTGAGAACATCCCATATTATTATATCATCACATTTATTTAAACAAAGCCAGCAGAAATTTCATGCTTCTTCTGCTGTAATCAGTTGTTATTTGTGCAATTAAACCGGCAATTTCTCCATGATCCTTCCAATTATTCCCTTCTTTTCCTTTGATGCTGTCTTATCACTATTGCTTTCTTCCTCCGCTTTGATTTCATCAGCAACCTCTGTGAGCTTTTTATCTTGCCCAGATTCTTCCTTCTGTTTATTAATGGCCTCATCTTTCTTTTGCTCCGAGTTAGCCTTTTTTTCTTTCTTTTTCTCGTTTCCCTGTGCAGAACGGTTGTTGTTCTTTTTAATTTACCAAAAAAAAAAACGAAAATTTACAAAAGTAGCACCAAAATCTTATGCATTTACATATCTCTCATCAAAACTTTCATTTTTACAAGCACAAAACCTTAACTTTATATGAAAATATAAATTTCATTGCTGACAAGTGTGATTAGTGCTATTTTCGATATCATATGACGGAATTGGGTCTGGGTGTTTGTAAAAATGAAAGTTTTGGTATGAGATAAGTAAATGCATGAATTGGGTGCTATGTTAAAAGTATAATATAGCATTTTTCCCCCTGACAATGGTGAGGTGAATTTATGTTTTGTTATAAATAGGCACAAGATAAAATGATGGTGTTGCAGTACATCAAGAGCATGCAATTATAAGAAAATTCTTATTTTCAGTTAAATTACAAGATGATAATGAAGTCATACTGCTGTTTTATTAGTTGTACATGTATATATATCATTTCTAACCACAGATTTCTTATGTAATATTTTTTCAACTTGTCAGAATCCATTACTGTACGTTGCTGCTGATAAAGCATTGAGAAAAATGATGGAAATTACCGAGTTTGAGCCAGACTTGGTACCAGAGTTAGATTTAGAGCTAGAGTTGGATTTAGTACTATTATCAGAATCAGCACCAGAATTATTGTTGTTTGAATCACCGCTCTGGTATTGAAGCTCGTCTTCATCTTTCGGTTCAGTTGTTTTCTTCTTTGATCTCCCTTTCAGAGACCTTCTCTTCTGTTTCTTCTTCATAGCTTTCTCCTTAGAATTACACTGTTTGGTACCAACAGGTTGTAAGAGAAGTAATGAAACGAAATTGGAATTAGAGAAGATAAAAAATTAAAATTATAATTAGTTATTTTCCAATTTATTTGATTTAGGAGAAATTTATTTTAAATATTCAACAAAAACAACAACAACAACAACAACAAATTTTTATCCCACTAAATGGACTCGGCTTCATAATCCTTTTTCTTCATTGCATTCTATCGTGTATCATATTTTCATATGATTCAAATATATTATGAACATTATTTATACAATATGCCAGCGTCTTCTTAGATCTATCTCAGCCTTTCTTAACATAAGTCAATTTTTCGAATCTAAAACATACACTCTCCTAACAGGATCATCAGATGGTCGACGTTTAATGTTACCAAACCATTTAAGATGACTCTCTCTAATCTTATCTGTCACTAGAGCTACACCAACCCTATCACAGATATATCCATTTCGCTTTTTGTCTCTAAGTGCCAAGCAATTCTTTACTTTATTTTATACTTCTCTTTTTAAAGGCCAACATTCAGGTCTCAACACCATCTTATTTTTAATGCTCAATCATTTTAATTTTTTTTTTTATTTCTTGAGCGAATAATTAAATCCTTATAATTTTTTTATAAAAATTAATTGTAAAGCAATAAAGATTTAGTAGCACCTGAGGGGCTGATTTAGAGCTATTGTCGGAGTTATTTCCAGAGCCGTTGGATTTGGTGTCGGAATCAGAACTGTGATGACGGCAATGAAGCTCTTCATCTCCTTCATCATCTCCAACAACAGCAGAGGCGTCCTGTTGCTTTTCCTCTCCATTATACTTCACTTTACCCTCCATTTTCTCTTTGGATTCTCTTGAAACAGGGCCCAATCCTTCGCTTTCCTGTTCATGCAAATAATATCCTAATTGTAATAAAATACAAATAATAATACTAAAATTAGAATATAATTCAAATGTTTTACAGTGTTTGAAGCAACATCCTGCTTCTCGTAAGCGTCTGCTCTCTGCACCTCCTCCCATCCACCAACTTCCGCAGCCATGGCGACCAATTAATGTAGTTTCTATGGCTTAATATTTTTTTCTGAGTTTTTCTTCTCCATTTATGGATATTTATAGTTGCAGACGTTGAAAGAGAGGTTTTTTAGCATGGTGCGTTATTGTATTCCACAGTTTACGGATTGCGAGGCAGGAAATAAGTTGGTGACATAATGTGGACGGCTTGTATGATTTAAAAGGGCCGTAGAAAGGCATTGGATTCCTGGTAAGCTAATTATTCCCACGAGGTTAGCATGATCAACATATAGATTATGTTGGTATTGCTTGTTATATTTTTGATCAATTAGTTAGATCTTATAATTTTATTTTAATTGTTCTTATAAAATGATAAACTACTTTGTAAATTTGTTGTGATAATTTTATAAACCAAAATTTTGAACTATTATTTCCCATTGTAATAAATCATAAGTTATAATTGCTTTCTTAAGCCTAAAAATGGAGGGAATTTTATTTTAATAAAATTAAGATGGCATAATCTATATGTAGGTTTTTTTATCAAACAATTAGAGAATCTAGTTCTATCAAAAGGGATTGTGAGAGAGTTCTTAAGTTGGTTATTTTATCTTCTACAAAAGTGTTAAACTTAATATTTGAAGGTTGGCTTACTCAAGCATAAGATAATAAATAATTAATATTAAAAAATAGAGTTATAGGCCTATAAAATCATTGTGGTAAGAATTAGGTTCAAAGTTTCTAGTAGTTTTGAATGGTAGATGAATTGTAACATATTATTTTTTAAAATATTTGATTAGCTAATCTAAGGTTGAATACAAATCAACATACAATCAACTCCGTAGTATTATTTGGTATGAACTACATTTTATTATGTTTGTATGTTGGTATATAAGTATGTGATCTACATGTGTGTGTGTGTGTGCGCACTTGTGTGTGTGTGTGTATATGTGTCTGTGTGTGTGTGTGTAAGTGATGTGTGTCTAAATGATGCACATATGTATATGTATTAATGTATGTTTATTTGTATGTATGCACTTTTGTACGTATGTATATTATTTATGTGATGTATGATCCATGTATTTATGCATATGATGTATGGATGTATGTATGATGTACATAAGTTTTTTGATGTGTGCAAGACAAGAAGCCTCTACTCAAGTTCATTGTGAAAGAAGAAGGTCTAGCATATAAGAAGATATATTTCAAGGAAACTACATTGAATAGTGCAATTAAACCATAGAAATTAGCAATTGATGAATTGAAGCATTAAATAGACTTGAGGGATGCTCCAGAGATGTCATTGGATGTTCCTATTATTTTTCAGGTTGAATTTATAAATAGGAAAAACATTTCCATGAAAAAAACACAAAGGAAGAATCAAAGAAGAGATTCCATTAAAAGAATTAAAAGTTGAAAAAGGAGTTAGAAATAAAAGGGAAATGGAACATCTACCAAAAAGGGATCTATACATGTTGGTGGAGATACTTCTCGTAATAAAATATTATGTCCATGTTAACCTCTCTTTTGGTTAATCTTCTCTTGCCCAATACTTTTATAGATCTTTTCTTGGGTGGATGTTTCATGCAAAGTGAATTTTAGGGGTTATGAGGAGTTCATTAGTAATTAAAACAAAACAAAGTAGTTAACATATGAAAAAAACACAAAGGAAGAATCAAAGAAGAGATCCATTAAAAGAATTAAAAGTTGAAAAAGGAGTTAACATAAAAAAAAATATTAATAAAAAAATATATTTATGTTGGCATTGATATACTACAATTTGGCATAGTTACACCACTGTCAGCTTAACTATGTCAGTAGTGGCGTAGGCACGTCGCATCATTCCCCCCACAGAGCAGTCAAAACCCTAGCACCAACCCAACCTATGCTTACGTGTCATCACTGACATGATTATGTCGAATGGTGGGCGTAATTACACCTTGCCACTCGAGTGGATGGCGTAATAACGCAAGTAAGCGTCCTCTTCTTCCCTTGTTATCTACCTCTTCTTCTACTCATTCCCATGGACGAACCCTAACACCATGTTGACCTCACTTTTTGGTGAGGATTCTGGGTCTTTCCTTTAGTGACTAGGATCTAGCCTTAAGACTTTCCTGATGACTATCTTAGCATCCTAGAAATGGTACCCACCTTCTCCTTAGACATTTCAACCAAATTTTTGTTCTCTATGTTGGTTCTATATGTGATCAATAATCTTTAATACAAAAATTAGATATTACAAAAGGGAACCCTAACGAGAATTCCTATAGGACCTATACACTATAGGAAAGTCTTGTACTGTTCTACACCTTTTGGACTTCAATACATTGCATCGTCATTCATAACCACCATGATCATCATAAACATTGCATTTTCATATTACAATGTTGTAATCATTACACACTCATGGGGCTGACTAAAATTATTTGAACCCAATTTCTCCTAAAAAAATACCCCACTTGAATATTCCAATTCTTCAAAATTCCTCAAAACTGTCATTGAATCACAAAATTCACTTTAAACCATTTGATATTATCATTTAGATCATTTGAAACCCAAAAAATGCAAAAATACCCAATTTTCAAAAAAATTACCAAAATACCCGTGGACACCCATAATATCAAATTTTTCCAAAATATCCCAGAGTCCCTGATAAGTCCTAAAAATCACACCAAATTATTCCTTATGTCTTTCTTAGAATTTTGACTATAATATTGGCATACTTTTGGACAAGTTTTTGGCACCTCGACACCAAAATAACTGTTTTCGTTTATTTGGATAGAGGAGAGAGAGAGGGGCTTTTTTGCAAAAACATCAAAAAAAAGAGAGGGATACGTTGGTTTGGAGGAGGAAGTTAAGGCTCTTCTTTTTTTTTTTTCTTAAAAGGAAAACTTTTTTTTTATTTTTTTATTTAACAATAATAAAAATATTATTATTATTATTATTATTATCTCTCCGTCTCCTTTTTTTTTGCTGAACACTTCATCGTAGCGAAATGAAATTCTCCCCTAGGTAAATTCGACGTTCCGGACGCGACCGCACTGTCCGTTTCATCGTTCGGGATCGTTCAGACCACCTTTTTAGCTATTTGGGTCAAAACGATAATTTGCGCATTTTTACTTCGCCCGCGAAATTGTGGTGCAACGAATGCCCTTTTTAAGTGGAATCAACGTTCCGGACTCACTCGCGTGGTCCGTTTCGTTATTCGGGGTTGTTCGGACACGAAGAGTTAACGACATGGACGTCTTCCTTAGGTAATATAGACGTCTCGGACACACATAACATCAAAAATTGATGCCAACAATAACGAATACTTAAAAATGCTTTGGGGATCATAAAATCTTTCACATTGATCAAAAATGACCCCAGACACTGTCGTTTGACTCCAAATTTCTTCCTAAATCACCTTGAGCATTTAAATCAACTTTTTAACCACTTTGACATAAATTTGTCAAAATTATCAAAATGTCACTCATAGCCCAAAAATTCTCAAATCCTCCAAAATTATTTCAAACACCCCTAAAACTAATTCTTGACCATCCATTTGGTTCAATTTGACCAAATTCACTTACTTTGACCAAAGTCGCCAAATTGAATGGGGTCTAGCCTTAGGTTTTTTCCTTTGACTATCTTAGAGCCTTAGAAATGGGCCCCGCCTCATTTTAAAAATTCAATACGCTTCTTTACTCTTTTGGAGTTTCGCATGTGTGGTATCGGTCTCGAAAATTAAATTTGACGCATTTTTGACCCGATTGCAGAAAAAAGTGGTACGAACGACCCTAGATGACGAAATGGACCTCGCGAGCACGTCCAGAACATCGATTTTACCTTGGAGGGACGTTCATTTCACAACGAGGACAAATTCAAGTGGAAATGCGGGGAATGATAGTTTCACATGTGCATGCTCTCTTTTGTGAAAAACGATGACAATAAAGTGAAAAATGGAATGAGAAAAAATTGCACGTAGAAAAACACCAGAACGACGCACAAATTTACGTGGTTGACAAATTTACCTACGTCCATAGAGCTGCAGAGGATTTTATTTCTTCGAGGAATTACTCCATCGAGTGTCTCGACGTTTATAAGAAAATATCTATTTTCTTCTCTCCCTTCCTCTCTCTCTCTCTCTCTCTCTCTTTTCCTCTCTTTCTCTTAGCTCTCAAGATGACTTGGCTTAAACTTACCTAGCTTGGCCTTTCTTGGCTTGGCTTTGCTTAGCTTGACTTGTCCTTCAAGCCATAAGAGGCTATTTATAGAAACCATGAGAGCGGTATGTGGGAGGTAAGTGAGCGGTAGGTGGGATGTGGTAGATGAGCGGTAGGTGAGATTCTTAATTAGGAAGCTAATTAAATTTCGGTGGACCGAGTCTCCACATTACCCAACAATTCTGTCACTTGGAGACCGGGACACTAATGGCATCACCTACTGGCTGCATCATCTACTAGTTGTACTGACATTTTTCTCAAACATGATGTCTTCCACCTCTGCAACTCGAAGCCTCTGTCTTCATGCCAGAAGACAAGCTAAAGTTGAGCACAACTTTAGCTTCTCATGAGTAACACCCTTAGTTGACATATCACCGTCAACGGAGCCTTGTACCACCAAGCTCTTTCCTGGGTTACTCTTGTATCTACTTACAACTCCCACTGCATGAGCAATATCCTGCCCCTGCTGAAAGCTCTTTTCAACAAGTTCAACCTTGTAGCTCTTACTGCCACCAAACACAGACTTCACCCAGTAGACCCACTTGTTGTGCAATGTCTTCTTCCTTGATGGAAGTTTTGTCAGCTCCCAAGTTTGATTCCCTGGCAGGGAATCTGTCTCATCCTTCTTGGTCAGCTCCCACTTGCTTAAATTCTCATCTTGCAAGATTTATTCATAACTCTGTGGTTCTCTACCATTTATCTTTATAAGGTCCGATTTTCCTGCCTTTGGCGCTCTACCACTTTTCAGGAAATTGACCTTCTTCTGCTCTGCTTCCCCATAATTTCCCCATAATGTATCTCTGACTCATGTGTCCACACCTGAGTAAACATGTAGTCATATATAGTGTGTCAGTTTTCTTACCCTGAGCCAACACTAAAGCTTCTTTGGTAACCTTCCATGTGCTATCTGAGAA